TGGCGGGGGAGGCGCGGGCGCTGCGCGACGAGATGGACCTGCTCAGGTGAGATGGGGACCTGGACAGGTGAGATGGACCTGGACAGGTGAGGTGAGATGGACCTGGACAGGTGAGATTGGGGGGTTCAGGTGAGATGGGGGTGCTCAGGTGAGATGGGTGCCTGGACGGGTGAGATGGGTATCTGGACAGGTGAGATGGACCTGCTCAGGTGAGGTGGCGGGGTTCAGGTGAGATGGACCTGGACAGGTGAGATGGGTACCTGGACAGGTGAGATGGGTGCCTGGACAGGTGAGATGGGGGGGTTCAGGTGAGATGGGACACCTGGACAGGTGAGATGGGGGTTCTCGGGTGAGATGGGTACCTGGACAGGTGAGATTGGGGGGGCTCAGGTGAGATGGACCTTCTCAGGTGAGATGGGTACCTGGACAGGTGAGATGGGTGTGCTCAGGTGAGATGGGGGGGTTCAGGTGAGATAGGGGGGTGATCAGGTGAGATGGAGTGCCTGGACAGGTGAGATGGGTACCTGCTCAGGTGAGATGGACCTGGACGGGTGAGATGGGGGGGTTCAGGTGAGATGGACCTGGACAGGTGAGATGGGGGGGTGGTCAGGTGAGATGGGCCTGTTCAGGTGAGATTTGGGGGGGCGTTCAGGTGAGATGGGTACCTGGACAGGTGAGATGGGGGGGTTCAGGTGAGATGGGGCACCTGGACAGGTGAGCTGGGGCACCTGGACAGGTGAGATGGGGGTGTTCAGGTGAGATGGGTACCTGGACAGGTGAGATTGGGGGGGTGATCAGGTGAGATGGACCTGCTCGGGTGAGATGGGGTGGCTCAGGTGAGATGGGTGGGTTCAGGTGAGATGGGGGTGCTCAGGTGAGTTGGGGGTTCTCAGGTGAGATAGAGGGGTGATCAGGTGAGCTGGGGCACCTGGACAGGTGAGCTGGGTGTGCTCAGGTGAGATGGGTACCTGGACAGGTGAGATGGGGGGGGTTCAGGTGAGATGGACCTGCTCGGGTGAGATGGGTACCTGGACAAGTGAGATGGGGGTGTTCAGGTGAGTGGGTACCTGGACAGGTGAGATGGGGGGTTCAGGTGAGATGGACCTGGACAGGTGAGATGGGTACCTGGACAGGTGAGATGGGTACCTGGAGGGGGGGGGGGGGGGTGCTCAGGTTAGCTGGGGTATGCTCAGGTGAGCTCGGGGTGTTCAGGTGAGCTGGGGGTGCCCAGGTGAGTTGGGGGGTGTTGGCTCAGGTGAGCTGAGGGTGCTCAGGTGAGCTGGGGAGTATTGGCTCAGGTGAGCTGGGGGTGCTCAGGTGACCCAGGGGTGCTCAGGTGACCCCGGGGTCCCCCAGTTGTCCCCATGTCCTGCATTGTCACCATCACAGCGCCATCAGCCACCT